TTGTCACTTTATATAAACGCACGCAAACAGAACAACGGCTACGCGTTTGTTTTGGGCGCGTTTTCTGCCTTAAGTTATAACGATTTAGAGACTAGCGAGAGAGGGAGATAAAAAGTGTAAAAGCAAAATAATGAGGAACAAAAAATTGTTACTGTTTAGAGATCTGAGGTTTCCCGAAGGTCGCCGGCGAACCTAAATCACAAAAGCTTCAAATTTCCTGCTCTCATAGGTTTTCAAAGATTTGCGTACAATCTTTAAACTATCTGTTGCAAATCTTCCCAAATTTAGATGCTGCTCATGAGCTATACATTTGAAAAAACGGACTCAAGTGATCTTTTAGAAATTTAAAGACCTATCAATCAGAATTCCCCGCGCACATGCGTTCTCGAACCTTGGAGCAGGCTTGTGGACATTTTGGTTATGTGTTAGGTAGTTATTGGAGGCAATTGTGAGATTTAGGGAAGCTCAAAAAAGAAGGAGAAACTACGATTTCTTAGACCAGCCTGCCCTGAGACTTGCCGCTAGGCCTTGGAGCTCATTTCATTTCAATAATACGTGGTCAAACGTCTACTCGTGGTCGTTGCAGTTACCCAAACAGCCACGCAAGAGGGGCTTCACCCTGCCTACAAATCTTTGTCTCACATGTCACCCCTCTAATCTCCGTATTCATCCTTAACCATCTGCCATAAGCATCGCCTTGGCTCCATGCCAAAAAACGGTTTTTCACGGGTTTATGTCGCTGCCAAAACCTTTTCAAAACCATCACAGTTGGTTTTGTTAGTATTCCAAGAGTCAAATGCAAACACATTGCTGTTTTTCGATACTTTCCGGCTTACTGGAATGGAAAAATGCTCAGACTGCCCTTATGCCTTATGTGAGTTTCAACGTCTTGGTTGCGAAAAATGCTGATCACGAACATGCAACATTTGGTTATATATTATGGATACGATGGCTCGAAAAAGCATTGAGCCTCTAGTGTTATGCTAGGCTTTTTAGAAAAGGAAAAATAGTTTCGCTGACAAAAAAATTTGTGAACCTTGTAAAAAAAATGCCAACATTTCTCAAACAATCTGATAAACAAAGAGCTTCTAAATGCACCACTTTGAGACCAAATAAAATAAATGGCTAGAGCTTGCAAAAAACAAGACTAAATATTTGATTACTTGGCTCAGAAGAAGAAATTGCGAGGTATAAAACGGCAAATGTGCGCTGATGCTGTCACAATTGTTGCTTTTAAAAAGATTAGTGGACGCAGACGGATTCGGCTGACTCCTGTCGTCGTTCTCATGGCTCCAGTTGTTCTTCGCCTCTATCTCTTTGCATGCTTTTCCCTTCCGCTATTTCTCGGCAATAAGCAACCTCTCCGCGATTTCAAAGCCTTACCATGAACACTTGGGATTGTCTTATATCAGATTGATTTTCCTTCACTTTGTTAAAAAGTCACGCACATAGACAGCTTACTGTCCGGCTTTGTTTCAGCTAGTGAGGAAGAGGAATGAGCCTTGGTAAACGACGAGCTGCGCTCACATTTCTCGATGAGTACAACGAGCCTGTCATAGGCAAGCTTTTCACAATTTTTAAAGTCTTTACTAAGAGCACTTTTCAATGCATTCAGTCAGCTTGCAGTACGGAAGGTTGCGAAATAATGGTGAAGTAATTGTTTGGCTTTAAGCAAGAGTTCAACTCTAAACTCTAGCGCTTTATGGATTCAATCCCTAAACAATAATACCGATATTTATAGATATCACGGATTTCAAAGACAATGTTGCCCTCCTCTCAGATATTCATCAGAATGTATTTCGACCTACAAGTTTGCAACAGGTATATTTCATAGCTCGCGAGGGATGCATTGTTTTCGCCCGTTGATTGATCCCTGTGTAAT